TAGTTTAGCTTGTTCCAGAGGTAGATACAATAGCTAAGTGTGTTAGGTCTATCTCTTGTGTGTTTCGCTCCGCTCACCGGTCCGGCGGGCGGAGCAGCAGGATTTCTGCTTCACACACGTTGCATACCGCTATTTTACTGTCTTTTTCGGACACCTTAAAATAATGCCAGACCGGTGAAGCCATTTTAACGAGCTTGTTTTGCCGCGCACAGAGGAAAGTGTCATGTATTTTTACGTCATGCGATCGGCATGTTTAGAGAGCACCGATCGATCGGTAGAGAGTGAGTATTGACCGATCGATCGGAGCATACCTACTAAATATACAAAATATATATTTTGGACTGGCAATGATTAGCAGTGTTCCCATGTTGATTTTACTTTGTAATTTGTGAAGTAGACACAGGTGTTTTATTGACCTATTTAACGGTTTCATAATTCTTGTCATTTTAAAGTTAAAGTATTTCACAAAGAAAAAATTACATCTTTTTGTACCACAATGTAAAATTCAAGAAATAAACAGTCATTTCAACCATTTTTTGAAATACAATGTTTATATAACCAGCCTATTGATGTATGTACTAAAAAAAACTTCAGAATATAGATAGGAACAACTGGTAACAGGTGCTCCTGAAATAAAGATTTCTGGAGCAGTGTTTGTATTACAGGTTTTCAGAGACAGTATGTTTAAATATCCAGGTGAAATGTCATGCTAACTTTTACTGAGTTATTAGAAATGTACACACAAAATAGGCAATAAAAACACCTGTAGGTGTATTTTTGACTGTTTTGTTCCTATCTCTCATAGAACACAGGTTGTTGAAGCTAAATAGCTCTCATAATTGACAATAAAAACATGTTTCTTCCTGCACTGTCCACCAAACTATAAGTGTCTCTTCAATGAATCTGCCCCCTCAGATGACATTGGTTGAACATGTATTGAAGTTCCCTGCCGAGCTCAGATGAGAAATATAGAAAACTGTAATAAAAAGTAGGTCACAAAGCCACATTTCACAGCTTGTTTTGTATTAATTTCATTCTACATATTAATTCCACAATTTGAATTTAGGCTCCAACAGATACTTTTGAATGATTGAAAACTTTACTCTTTCATTAAGGATTTATTATAATTACTCTAAATGAAATGTGAAATACCTATCTATTTGTATGTTTGATCTTTTCAGTGCAAAAAACACGAGTGTACCCTAAGCATGAGATTACATTCACACTATACATGAGTGAGGAAAACTAATGGTTTACTCTCAGGCAAGAAGGGTCAAATACTTATTGACTTGTGTCGGACAGGTTAGAGCAGTCTGACTTACTAAGTATATTAAAGATGCCAAAAGTAGTGTTACCAGAAGTACCGTTGGCTTAGAGGCGAAGCCACATTTGGAACGACTTTTTAGTTTAAACAGTTTACAGTTTTTACTGAAGGTGGTGCAGTGGGGTTGCCAAAATGAGAGGCCCCTTCATGACATAAAGTTTAACCAGACTCAATTTCCCACAAACGTCTCGCCAGCGACTATGGAGACTAACATGACATAATTAATGTCATTGAGTGTTACGAACTGCTGTGTTTGGGCATCTAAAAAACCATTGAACACATGAATCTGTTACTCCAACAAGACTCAATTGTATTTCCATGTATCCACAGTAGCTTACATGTCATACTCCCACCATTGCAGCCCCCCATGCTGTTATAACACATGGCTGTTTTAGGGCTAAATGCCTTAAGGCCTCACTTTGTAGTCTGGTTGAAGCAGTGGTAGATGTTAACCTAGTAGTCTACATTTACTTAAGAATGCTACATTTACATAAGGCATAGTTTTTTTTACCCCTCCGGGTGAAAATCAATATAAAAGAAAATATTCTACAATATAAGCCCTCTAGAGTACTTTTGATGCCGGACACAGGCCTTCTTTTTGTTAAATACTCTTATTTTACATTTTGATTTCAGAATATTTGCAGGGCTGCAAACTGTCAGGTCTTTTAAATTACTTTTAAAACACTTTCTCTTATGTTATTTTATTGCTTGTTTTATTCTCAAATGTAATGATGTGTTTAGTTGCTGTTTTTTTAGATTATTTTATTCTCTGTGTATTGAAATGTGTTCGTTTTTAATTTAGTCTGTACTTCTAAGTCTTTATTATACCATGGGTTCTACTTATACTTAAGTAACGGATTTGAGTAGCCTAACCACTGGGTATAAGATGGTGAAGAGGCCTATACAGACTTTTTACGTTTAAACAAGTTTCGGTTCCAGGTTTAACTATAAACCATAATAAAACGTTTCCACTTGCCTCAATAACGCATATTATGTAAAATAATGTAGGAAATCCTGGCTGCATCTGCTGATTCCTGAAGAGAGAGTAAGACTTTTCACTCCCTAAAGCCTGAGCTGAACTGTAATGAGAACAATAAAGATGTATTACAAACCTCAGCAGGGAAACCATACCACCTGTAACCCACCACAGTAAACCCAGCTGATTCCCTAATTTTAACTCTGTGTGACTGCCTCCACATAGTTTTATGATCCGTAGCCTGCCAATAGGATTCAGGCTGAGTTCTCTCAGAGGGAGTGGAAGCTAGCGTGTTCAGGCAAGATACCCTGCCTCGCTTTGCCTACAATGCCTCATCCTTATTTAGTCAGGAAACCTCAGAGCACCTCTAATTGCTAAGAGAGTCTCACGTTTTGATGTGTATCTCCTTAATGGATCATAGACTGCCAAGGCACAC